AAGTAAAAGTGTCACTTAAGGTGGCAGACCATTTTAAGTCAATTTCATTGTATGCATTATACTTCTCTAGAGACTTAGACATGTGGAGGAAAATTATTTTGGAAGATTATATAGATTTTTAAGCATAGAAAATAGTATGTTTGAGAAGTTTGACCAGTGATAGATGTAAGAACTCTTATCAATGCATTACGTAAGATATTGCTGGTGAACACTCACAGTGTACTGGTGTTATTCAAGAATTCTAGCCATGGGCTTAGGGATAGTGAGAATCTCAGTTTAATCCTATAAAACACCTTTAGATATCACCAGTTACAACTCAAAAAGAAATTCGAACCTATGTCATTTACCAACCATGTACTATAGTTTCTTGTTCCTAAAAGGAATTTCACATTGATCTAGAAGGTAAACACTGGCAGCTTCTCTTCTCTAATTATTTTGTTTGTAGAGTCTCAACTAATCTCTCTCAGTGGATAAACTAAGAAAATTTATATACTAACATGCAAAGCATTTTTTCCCAAGGCAGCAAACAGTTTCCTATTAGGTGAGAAAAAACTTTAGGTTGTGAAATTCTATTAGCATTAGGGGAAAAGGATTTCTAGACATCTTTAAGAAAATAATGTCAAAAAGTAGAAAATAGTGGGAATGGAAGAAAAATGTTGCAGTTAAAGATAAACCGTACGAAGGGCTTCTCTCCATGGGAATATATCCTGTGCTACTCTGGTGATGGACAACCATTTTATGGCATATTAGGACGATTTTTCCTTGAGCGAGTTCATATGCCGATGTGAATAGAGAAAAGGAGGGGGATGCAAGAGAGAGATTTGTAATTTGAAGATACGAAAACCAACAGTTTCACTTTTGACTGGAAAAAAATCAATGCAACTCTATGCAGACCTGAAGACAAGGACAACTTGAAAAGGGAGGCTAATCTTTGTGACATCTTGTGAAGGAAACAGGTACACCAAAACATGGGCAGATAGAGATGAGGATGGATCTCTCTTACTTTAATCACAGATCATTAAGACATTCAAAGTCATGTTACTTCTACTGCTGGGAGAGTTTAATTACTTAAAAGTCTTTCCAGCATATTAGTTTCTTTCTGGTAGAGGAAAGGGTAGAGGAAATCATATCCTCTCTTCTTGGCATACAAGGACCTAAAACAATATTTTGTTCCCTAGCTTATTTTGTTTGAACTGTGGGTACTGACATCATGTAAAGAAATTTTCTTCCTAAGTGTTCCTAATAATAGGATTATTGACATAATTCATCCATACCTTTGCATTAAATTGAATGATTTGTTCCTGGCTAAGTCATCCTGACTAGGAATATTATGGCAGAGACTGCTACACGTTTATCATAAGCCTGTTCCTTTTTCTTCTGGGTTCACAGGCAACAATTGCCCACCTCATGATCGGGCCATGTGCCTGAGCCTTGCCAGTGGAATGGCTTGTCCATAAAACCCTCCAACACAGGATCCTCCATAGTCTCTCATCAGCAGCAGGCCAAATAGAGGACTTCAGTGGGTGCAGAGGAGGGCAAAGCCACATGATGGAAGAAGCCTGTGTCTCTGAGTCATCCTGGAGTCAAGCCAGAGGAGAGGAACATGTTTTAGAGAGAAACAAACCCTATTCTATTAAGCCACTGAAGTTTTGGAGTTTTGGTTACATCTCTAGTTGCCCCAGCTAGGTGTGGACTCTGTATCCAAACCTCATTCCATCACTAGCTGTGCAACCTTGGGCATGCTAGTTAACCTCTCTGTGCTTCAGTTTCCTTCCATGTGAAATGGTGACAGTAACATTGCATAGCTGAAATGTTGCCCTTGGTTCCTTACATGTGTATGTAATTGAGGGGATTTAATGAAGTATACAATCCTTTAATAAACCAGGCATAGAAACTACTACTTTATTCCCAAAGTAGGCTCTCATTTTAAGATCATATCCAAATAGGGGTCTCATACAGAGTTTGGTAGAGCACTGTAAGTTGATTTGTAAAATAAGAAACTATCCACGTATTATGTTCAACTGTAAGACTACTGAATTTTCCAGAAAAAACCTAAGGGTGACAAGGAGGAGTGGAAGAAGAAAAGGAGGGAGGTAATGAAGTAAAGAAGAAAGAATGAAGACTTCTCAATTTTATGTACTAACCCAACTTTACTAACAAATCTGACGCAGCAAGGGAGGAATACACCTTAGCATCCATTAATGTGGACACAGGCAATTCCGGAGGCCGACTAACACTTCCCTTGTCACTGTCTGCAGCGGTGCCCTCACATTCGGCCTTGGGCACGGAATATGTTGAGTACCTTCCCCGCCTCCGCCTTGCTTTTGTTTCTCTTAGAGGCAAACACTCCCCCGCGCTGCTCACATCTCACTCACTCACGCAAGCAAACCACACTGAGATATACCAGTAGTCCTTTGCCGCTTAGTAAACTTATTCTAAGGCATAGTGCCTATAAATAAAGCAATATGATGCCCGGAAAATAAAAACAAAGACAACAAACAGCCTCTCCAAATGCACAACTGTGCATTTACAGTCTCTTCTATAAACAGATAAAGATTGCAGGTTTTTAAAGTGAATGAGAGACTACAGCAAAAAACTGTGAACTCCGAAAAAAATGAGTGAAGCATAAAATATACCGTATGTAACAGAAATATATATTTACTCAGTAGCAATGACAACAAAGTTAAACAAAAGGAAATTAGTACTTCGAAGGTTCAGTAGCAAGGATGTGTGATATGCCCTGGTTTGGGTCTCTTTGGAACTTCTCAGAAGAAACTGCTCACTGTATAGGCAAATATATGAATTTAACAATTGGTATTTTTTCACCAAGATGTTCTTTGCTTCTCTGGAAGTGCGCTTCTATTTTTTTGAGGTCTCCAAGGTATGAACAAAAGGAGACAGATCTGTGGAGAAAGAAAACCTTTCTACTCCATGAACAAATTGTGACTATTTGGAAAAGAAAAAGTACAGGACTTAAAAAGAAAAAAACAACCAAATGAGGTTTTCTGCAAAGTTACAGTGCCCAAGGACAGTTCTGATTTGATGCCTTAGCAATTTACATGGAATTTTACTCTAGTGGTTTCTCTAAAGTTCAGCAAAAACAAGCAACAGAACAATATGCAATTTCTGAGGCACAACAACCATTTTCAGAGCCTGGTGCATATGGTTTAAAAATTCTTTTCGAACAGTATCATGAGTGGACTGTAAAGAAAAAACCCTTTCAATCTTGCATGGTGTTTGAGTCCTGTGGGGCATTTTGGGCTTTGCTATACCGTCCAGAAGGGTATATGGGCTCAAAGATCATGTGCAGTCAGAGATGAGTATGGAACCAAAGGGCAACATTTCAGCAGCCAGTGCAGATGGCTTAGTTCCCTAACCCAAGCAGCTGAATTGGTTTGATGATGAGGGCACTTAGCCTCCTTGGATAATTCAACAATGGGACCTGTTAGTTACCCCAAGCAACTTTCCTACTCCACAGCTCTTAGGAGTATCAATGGCTTAAACATCCTCAATAACATAAGAAGTAAGAAACTCACTTTTACATTCCTTAAATTAGTTCTAGAATTTCATGATATTACAACATAGCGTAGTCTTGGCAAAAAAAGTAGATAATAGAGAATATGGACAATTATCTGGGTATGTTCTTTCAATTATGCAAATATGTCTATACCTCAGCATAGGATTTATTTGATCATGAGTAGAATTCACATAATTGGAGGCCTTGATTTCCAGGAATAGACCCTTACAGTAAGTCACTCATGAATTTTTTCCAGCTACTGTACCACAAAAAATGTAATGGAAAAAGTACTAGAGAAGAAGACATAAGAATCTCAAGATTCCTTGGTAGTACCAATGGCCTGTTTTATAGCCCCGGGCAAGTCTCTTCATCTCTATAGGTCTGTTTCTTCAAGGGGTTGGATTGGCTGGTCTCTAAACCCCTTGAGGCTCGGAGAGTCTAGACTTCTAACAAAGCTTACCAAAGGTTCCTTCAGTGACTGGATCTATGTATGCTTTAAAATGACGAGACCTTGCCTTTTAAAAATGCAGTTAAGGGAAAAGCATTTTTTTCCCCTCATGGCCCAGGGCCTGTACATCATTTGTTTTGCTAAGACATGCAAACAAGTGACTGGACAACATATTTGACGCGCCACATTAAACACTAGATGGGTGTGTTGTTAAAAAAGGAAGCCATCTGATTATATTTTCTTGCTTATTAAAATTAAACTGAGCCTGTAATTAGCATCTAATTAACACCACCAGGTGAAGTACTTTACTGTTGTTTTTTTGTAAGAAAGTAATGAGTGATTCTCTTTTGATGGCTTTATTTTCTGGGTAAGGCCGGCAAAGTCTCCAGTTCAGACTTACTACCACATTGGCTGATTCATTCCAGATCCTCAAAGAGCAATCTCCTTAAGTACTACTCTTTTTCACAATGGTCATAGTTCTCTAGCCGTATAATAAAAACCATGCAAATCTGAGTTTTGTTTATACTAAAGACAGGCTTATTTGAATGGGGGGACCAATGTTAATTCATTTAAGTGTGAGTGAAGCTTGATGCGATGTGTTTCAATGTGACTTCAGCTGAGCTGTAATCGGCAGGGCCTGTGATACAGATTGCTATACTTACAGGACTGATTTGTCACAACTGTGGCATCTAATTGTGTTCTCAGTTCTAGATTTAGCAGCTTCTCTTCTTGGCTTTTATTCTTCTGACCAGCTATTGCTTATGATTTTATGTACTCCTAGCAATCAGTACATTTAATTTGGATTTTTGCCTCTTTCATCAGGATTTAAAATGTAACCCATTTTAGATGAAATCTAAGCTAGGTTTTCTATGATTCATACACAACAATCAAAAATATGCCTTCACACACACACACACACACACACACACACACACACACAAATCGACTCTGTGAAGATACAAACATCCAATTCACAAGGTTTCCAATTCACATTACCATCATAACAATATAAATCATTACTACTTATTGCTATGCTAACCTTGAAAGATTGAAACATTCATTTAAAAAATGTTTTTAAATTTCCTTGCTTTTTTCTAGGATTCTGCAGAATTAAAAGCAATATTCATTATTTTTAGCCTGTATGATTTTATGTTGATTTCAGCAAATTGTGGCCATTTTCCATAGTATCATTTGTGGAAGGTATTAAAATATTTTTTATTTTTTACAGATGTTAATTAACTTCTGGGATACATACACATCAGCAATGAGTGAGTTCAGTTAAATTTTCCAGTGTGTAGATGCTGGAAGAAATTGCAGTTGACTAGAACCTGTGGCTATGACCAGAAATTTGCACGACAAAGTATTCTCCTTGAATTGCTCCTTTGCCATTCTCTTCTCTATCAGTAAATCTTAGGTGGAAAATATCTCAAAAGGGGAGAAAACAGATTTTGTATTTTCACTAGAATCAGGAAGCTGAGGGTAAAGAACAGGAAGTGGAAGTAGAGAACATGAAGACTGCAGAGAAAAAAAGCCATGCAATTCTATCAAAATGCTGATCATGCCGGAAATCATCCAATCAGGTCTTTAAATTGAGAATAATGTGTTTTTGTTGCCCACTTTTGGAAAAAAAATAGACAAGGGACAACAACAATAAAAATGTAGAGTTGGGTTTAGTGAAGGAAAAAAAAAGGCAGGGAGAGGAAGGCAGGATGGGAAAAGAAGGCCACCCTTCCCCCTCCAGAGGGAACACTGCCCATTCCACACACACCTACTGCCGCAGAGCGGGGGATGCAGGCACTGCCAGTGTCTCCATCTAAGGGAGCCATAGTGAGGCAGATCAAGGCAGGTTTTTAAAGTTTCTCATTAGTAAGGGCTAACACAAATAGAGCTGGCCTTCCACTTACCAGAAACCTAAATTAAGCTATGCTATTTCCTAAGGCGTTCTGATAATCAAGGATTCCTTTCACTTAAAAGGGGAGAGAAACAGTCTGTATTACAAGTTTAACATTTGTATCTGTTTATTTTTCTTTGAGCCGGCATTTCTATCCATCATTAGCTCAAGAAACCTAACATACATAGCACTGAAAAATCACATAAGGAAACAACAATGAAAGAATAACAATGATAACAGTTCCAGTGATGGAAGTGGCGCTTAGTCATTTTTATGGACGTGAGTACTGGGGTATCAGAAGGGCAGCAGAGAGCAAGAGAGGCTTTTGCCCAAGATGGCCCATTTTAATGACTGACCAGGGGACACAGCACTGGTAAGGACCTGCGATGGGCTCCTGAGGTGAGATGCATCACATGTCCAAACTCCAAAACATTCTGTAAGTCAAGCCTGGCTTTGTCTTTTCAATCATTTGCTAGGATGAAATCAGTCTCTCAGCTGCTGTCTCAGCAAATCAACCCTTCAGTATTTCAGGAGCAATGAGTACATGGAATACAAAGTCATCTCAAGACAGGAACAGGAAACTTTCCCTGCTTTCATTCCATCCTGTTTTCCCTGCTTCCTCTTCTTTCCCCACCTAAATAGAGTCATTTAAAAAAGAAAAAATCAAAAGTCCCTCAGTTCCCAGGGATCCTAGTCTATGGTCAAGAATATCCTTGTGCTATTTTTTGCACAATCCTCCTATATTATATTTGGCCCTGAAATCAATTGGTTACTAGTCTACATAAATGCTATTCTATACAAATATTAACAAGGGGAGCAATCTGGAGTATTTCAGAGCAATTAACAAATTACAGATCATCTGTAAGGAGGCATCAGATAGCCCAATGGGGTGGTCATGGGCATCACCCAGAACAGTGTATGTGAAAGGACTCTGAATGACAAAGCACTTTGAACATTAAGGTCATTATTATTGTTGTTATTATGCTATAACAACCAATACACTGGGGGGAAAATAAACCCCAAGAAGGCAAAAGCTCTGGTCAGATTTAATACAAGGAATCATTTCCTCTCCATGTCTAAGAGTTGGCACTTGGCAATGATAATGCAGTATATGGAGAGACACATCTTGGGCCTGTAAAATAGAATATACAAATATATATTATGAAGTATGGTAGGATACAAATTGATGTAAAAATATGCTTTGCTTTCCCTGTTTCATGATTTAAAAAAGCATGTGATTTTGTGTTGTTAGATGTTGATGCAGAGTTAGTAAACCTTTTTGGTTACGTTTTCACAGTATATGTTATTACAGTGTTGGTATCTTACATGTTAAATAGCATTCTGAAATATTTAGGACTCAACCCAAAATAACTAAACATTAATACAGACCATTCTACAAACATGTTTAGTCATATTGTTTGGGGAGTAAGAATGGAGTGGTGAGAACAGAAATTCATCAAGATTTGCTAGTTGGCCCATTTCAATTAAGTGTTTTACATAGTCAAGTAATCGTGATGGATGTCCATGATATTTTCATTCTTAATTAGGAAATGGCCTGAGGCTTCAGCTGTAGGAGGTACTGTAGGAAGAGGGTGTGTCTGGGAGAGATTCCTTCCCTGCCTACAGGCTAACAAGTAACTGTGGCAAGATACTGGTACCCAGACAGCATTTCTTGGGTCAGTGTTTGACAATCAAGCGCTCTTCAAGATGGTGGAGCTGCTCAAGCTCCAGAGACCGCAGAGGCAGAACCTCGCTGAATGAGGCCAAACCCTGTGGCTTTTGGAGGTTACTGTTCAAGAATTCTGGGCAGCTATCTTGAAGGATAATGTTCCCATTTCTTAGGTCACTGTTGTCATGTTACTGGCCTTCACCTCAATTCCAGTTAAATTATAAAGTGCAATATGTAACGTTGAAACTTCAGAAAGAACTCAATGAGCACAGCCACCCTCTGTGGAATCCTTAGTTTGAATTACTGGCAGAGTCAACATCCATATCTGAGAATGTACAGAAACTTGATCACCATTGTTGCTGTCTTAATCATCATCATTGCCATTAGCATCACAGTCGCTGTATCACAATTACGTCAAGTGGCCTGGCAATATCAGACAAACCAACATCAAGACACTGTCCAGTTTGGGTGTGTAAATATTATCCTGTGTTTCTTGGCCCATTTAGCAAACACTTTCTTTTCAGTGATAAACCTATGCCCCCCGTATGGGGCATGTTCATGAAGAAAATATTCATCACACTCATCTCTTCCTTGTTCATAGTAATGATAGGGAACTTTTCTATACCCTTCTGTCCTAGAAAAGAAAAAAAGAAAAGGAGAGAAAGATTGAGGTGAAGAATGAAGCATTCATTTGCAAGAATCCATTTGTACCCAGTAAATGCATTTACTTGCAAACCCAATGCATGATTCTTGTCCATGAAGTCAGTTAAAAGCTATTACGTATAAAAGCTTTTAGGAAGATGTACCAGGTCCTCAGTGCTTTAATAAATCAAATGAAATTTATATATCATGCCAATTACACTCAAACACATAGCTATCCTTTGAAGGAGGAAATTGTGCATAATGGAGGCAAAATTTGGATAGCCTGATGCTCTTGCAAAGCTTGAAGAAGCTTTGTGATTTTCAGAGTAAGATATTTGGTTTATCTGTACTCCACTATGCTTAGTTAGGGTAGAAATATTTGATCATTTATCATATGTTACCAGTTTGACAATATGATTAAAACACTCTCTGAATTATATTGTGGCAATTGTTGGTAGGGAAATATATTTCATTACTTTGATGAAGCATGGAAGGTTTGTTTTATTAAATAATTACAAACACTTCCACTGGCAGGGATATTACTGTGGATAAACATACCCATTTTAAATAAGGACCTGGCAGATTACTCACTTATTAGTGACATGTAATTTCCAGGAATTCTTGCTAAATCATCAGCTTCTGTGAGGCTTCAGGACATTTTGTCCTTCGTGATCAAATATAACCATTGAGTAGATAGCCATCCATCAAGCCATTAGAACAACAGAAATGCCAAGCTCACTTTGCAAATTAAATAACCACTAAACTTGTTCTGTATTTCCAAGCCACGAATCCCTGATATGCCACTGATTAAGGAAAAAAAAAAAGTTCCTTCTGACATTTGACATTAGATTGTAGTAAATATTTTTCTTTTTATCACCCCTAAAAGTCACAACTTGATGTACTGACAATAAAATGTCATGTCAGCAAAGAACGCCTGGAAATAATTGTTGCTTTCTCTGGGTCTCAGATTTATGGTATCAAAATGTATTGTGATATTTTGACAAGATATCAGAATTGGAGATGCATAAAAATAATTTCCGGTGATCTTACTTGCAGTAGGTGTCATTTATCATCCCGTAGACGTGAATGCCGTAACAGGCATCCATGGCCAGAATGAAGGTAAACCACCCCGTGCTGAGATAAGAGCCAGACTGGACTCTGTGGGGGAAACAAAAACAAACAACATACAGAACAAGACAGAAAACATGCACACAGCCACAGTAAAGTGTGGTAAGAAATGAGAACCTTTTATCAAAAACAGAGTACTTGTTATCAAGAAAAAGCATTAAGAAACTTGACAATCTGTCAAAGATATGCACTTGTTTTGAATTATCCCTGAATAATTTATAGGCATGCTCTCACTCTTACTTCCTTAAGCCTAGAAGCTATGTTATATGGAAGAGGAGCCATATGGCAAATATCTGAACTCAAATAATCCTGTTCCCTTCAGGTGAAGAAATAATTTATTTGACTTCCCGTAAGACACAAATTAGTGCTGTGTATCAGAGGACAGGTTTTCTACAAGTTGCCTGGAGCCCCGATGGGAGCTGAATGGTAATGGTGTTATCATGCTCACTTGGACAGACCACTCTCTCTAAGACTTGTTGGGCTTCTAAGCATAAATTGGATGCAAATTAGGTGAATGTCTTGGTCTATGAAAGCATCTGAAAAGTTTTCCCTCACTGATTTCCAGGTATCCCAAGACAAACTTTTCCTTTGTATGACCTATGTTACCAATCTCTTCAACACATTTTTATTGAACACCTACTTATGTGCCAACCACTGCTGTAGATGCTGGGGATATAGTAATTATCAAGACAATCAAGGCTTCTGTCTTCATGGATGCCAGAGGATCACTGTTTGGAGGCAGCTATGTTAAAAAGGTTGGAAATGTCTCTTTGGTGACAGCGGCAAAGAGCAGGGAGAAAAGGGAGAGGAGGGGAAGAAGCCATGTGAATCACATTGGGAAAGACCATGTCATGAGCGCAGATTTTGATCCCTGTCTTGGCCGCATTGAGAATGGTCCTTGAGGCTGGAACCCTTCCTTAACAAGCAATAAGGAGCCCTTACAGCCTGTGCCAGTCTCACTGCCTTGTATGGGAATGTCTTTCCCTGCTTCGGAGTCAATGTGTACTCCCTTGTTCTGCACAGGCATGTGTCATATGGCAACTGGCCACCTCCAGTACTGCATCTGTCCCCCGCAAAGAGGGGAAGGAGTAGTTTGTTCTATGGCATGAGAGGGTTGCATGCAAGCCAAGGACTCTGAATCAGCTGCCAGGAACGAAGGACTCAGTGGCTGGGGAAATGATGTGCACGCTTGGGGCTGCTCTTGCCCTGTCTCTCGGTGTGAGTGAAGCACTGTTTCATTCTGGGCTTGTGATGTGTTTTCCCTGGTGATTCTGACAAAAAAGATGCAGTGGGCAGAAGTGCTTGGACTTTGACTCCTGGTGATAGGAGTAAGATGCTACTTGCTCAACAGACCATGAGAAAAACGTGCTCCAGGAAAAGGAAATAAGGGCAAAATCACAAATATGGAAGCGTGCTTGGTATGTTTAAAGAGAAGATGGGACGCACAGCAGCAGAAATGGGAGAGTGGCTGATGTAGTTAGAGGTAGTGCTGATTAGAGGGGTCTGCCAAGTTCCAAATGGCTCAAGGGAGTATTTGATGAAAAGCCGGATTTCCATACTTGTCTTTAACCAAAGGGACCCAGTCCATCCCCAAATGATGACTGCCTCTCTTCTTAAAACTCTCCCTGTAGGGGCATTTGGGTTACCCAGGTTGCTGACAACTGGTAACACTACTTTTAAAAAGACTAAACCTCATAGCTTCTATCTAGACTTGGCATGCTGGAGCACAGCCAGCTCTTCTCCTACAAACTGAAACTTGGCCACTGATAACCACTCTCTGAGTACAGCTCTCCAGCTTGTAGCTGCTTCCACTTATGTCCAGTATTGTTGATGCAGTTCTCCAGTACCAAGCCATGAGCATGCTATATAATTAGGACCCCAAATCCTTTGATTCTTTTACTTTTTAAAACAGGCACCGCTTAGTATCAAATTACTTGGAACAAGCAAGCATTTCAGGAGCAACACATATCAGAATGGGGTTTGATAACTGCATTTTTAAACTTTGTTTTTAGTCTTAGGATTTTCTGCAAGGAGAGAAGAGCCCAGCCCATCTATTTCTTCCCCTCTGCTTACTTGACACTAAGTCTGGAATGCCACTTTGTAAGTAACCTTTCCTTGTATCTTCTGGTGTGTCTTCTAAATGGAAAATATTCCAGAAACAGGATCACACTGAGTTACATGCACTTTATTCTATGACAAGAATAGTAGCATCAGCCTGGGTAAGGGATGGGTGCCAAATGGGTGGGAGGATGTACTGCAGGGAGTGACATCTGACTAAAGAGCAGCTTTGCTTATTATGCAATTTAACTTGCATTCTGAGGTCTGAGGATGCGCAACAACAATGCAAACTGCTTAAAGCACCATCTGTTTAAAAAGTCTTTATGTGAAAATTGGGATAGATCTGAAGATGCAAGAGTCTTGACTAAAACTCCCAAATTGAATCTAGAAATTTTGTTTAGGTACTGAATATTTTCCTGGTTATTATTCTTGTTTAACTGCATACTCTCTTCTCCTCTTCTTGTCTTCTCATTATAGTTTTTCTACCTTTCTACCCTCTCTATCTTCCTACCTAGGCTGACTGAGCATTAGGAGAGATCTCTAAAAATCATAGCATTTATCTGGACATGATAAGAAAAAACAGGTCTTACTTATTCACCCATTTATTCACTTTTTCAACAAACATTAATTGGGATCCTGTTATGTCACTGACTATGCTAGAAGCTGGTAATGAATATTTTCTTAAAGAGCACATGGCCTAGTCAGGGAGGCACACATGTTAAAGCAATTAATCACAATACAGCACAACAGAGCACAAGCCCGGGAGCTTCCGAGCCAGCACAGAGTACAGCATGGAACTGAGAGTGAGGCTGTCTGGTGTCATAGTCCAGCTCTGCCACTACAGAGCTTTGGACAACTTATTCAGCCTCTTTGCATCATCTTAGTTTCCTTGACTCTAAAACAAGATGTTTGAACTAAATCACATCTAAGGTTTCTTCCAGTTTTAAAATCAAATGATTCTGTGATTATCACCCTCAAATACTTAATCTGTTTTAAGCTTTAACCATTTGACAGTAACATGCCCCATGCATGTTGGATGCATAATTAACAAGCACACTAATTATTTGGATCATATTTAATGTCCACTTGGTGGCAGGCATACCACTAAATGTCTGGGGCTTATACAAAAAGGGTATGAAGTTTCTATCCTACAATGGTAGTGACTACAGTCATTAAACGTTTGGAGGGAAGAGCTCTATGTTTCCCTCTTTCACACTACTGCTCATGGAAGGTGCTGGAATGACTGTCCAAGACCAAAGACACAACTGGACCACAGTATTTAGGGTAAAACTTAATCTGAATGAGGAAAAAAATACCTAAGTTAGGGCAAATTGTTTTTCTTTCTACATGTTTTTCTGGGAGTGGGTCCATCCATAGTGATGCTAGCTGTTCAAGGACCAAGGTAATATTATAGCTCCAGGATAAAGGAGGAATCACTTGTGTGACATGGACCTCTATTCTGCAAAACAAGTTCTGGCTCATTCTGTTCCAGCCCAGATACTTATTTGTGAGTCCTCAAAAGTAAGCTTTCAGAATCTCCAAGGATAAACAAGGTACAAGTGTTGCAGTGGTTACTCTACATATCTATCTTCTCTTTACCATAGGAAAAGAACAGGAATTGGGCATTTGGTCAAAGATCTTTTCATCTCAGCACTTAATAAGGATATTTTACTGCATTTCTGATACTTGATTACTTTTAAGCCTAACCTGATTTATTTTTTTTCTGGATAAACAGACACTAATAATTAGCCTCCAAATTCTTCAAGCAAGCTGTGTTGCATGTGATTCAGATCAAGGAGGTTCATGCCACCCAAGTGTCCTCTCCTATAAACAGCATTTAACTAGATAGTTGCATTTTCTCTTCTTGGGCCTCCGATATACTTGGGATGTGAAGTCAGGGAGGTTTCCTACCCACAGCAAGTATATGTCCATATAATGATACTTGTAGAGGAATAATGGCAACTGCTGGATGAACCAGGAATTCTTCCGAACAAATGCCCAAGTGATCTGGTTCCCTAAGGGAACTCACTGTCCTGGATGGCACTGGCTCTGGGAATTCTTGTAGCTGCAGCATTTTTAAACTTTCCTGCTGTGTAGATAGATGTTTTAGGTATAAAGATGTATAAATTATATATCTTTTGAAGTTCAATAAAAACAACAAAAAAAGACTTGAGCTGATGTATGTAAAAGTGTTTTTCAGCTTGGAAAGACCTTGTGATAACTATCAGATGCTTTAAAAAAATTATTAAAGTGTCTCCTCTGGGGCCCAGTTCTGTCTTGTAATTTGTTGCTCATGAACGGGGCACTAACTATGTACCAGTTGGCCATCAGCCACAGTGCTTTTTATACTTTCTACATTTGAGGATTGATAAAAACAATTATTGTCATCTGTAGATAAACAATCAAGATTCCCTTTGGGATGATAGAATTGTAGCCCCTAATTCAATACAATAGGAAAGCTTAAATTAATGTGGCAGAATAATGAGCCATGCAGGGGAAAATAAAGGCAGGGATGTTAAGAGGAAGCTATCAATCATTTTGCCAAGCTTTACATCCCACTGCCCTTGGTAATCGTGATACTTACCACTTAGAAACTCCTTAAATTTACTTGCTCATCTCTTGGAAAAATGATGCTGTCAACACCTTGATGTAGCACATGCTTGAAGGCATATCATTTAAAATATGATCTTTCATCTAGTGTATTACCAATAAAATATAAGCTACCTTGCCCCTTGATGTTTACCCCTGTTCCTTGATGTTTAAGGCCATCATATGTCCACAGGGATTCATCATCTGTCAAGCTATCCTTATTTCCATCAATCTCATTATTTTTGGCTGTAAGCACATCCTGCATTCACCTGCACCCCTGCTTCTGAGCATGCTGTCCTGTCTTCTCATTTCCGGAAATGTATTGTGACGTCTTTTTCTTCTCCTATTGCCTGGAAAGCAGGAACTTTCTAGTGAATGACATT